GAAGGATAAGCTTTAAGCATATTCCGAAGTAACATATTTTTCTCAAACTATATTCAGAAGTTCACAAAATTTTGCCCTATTTTCAGTCATATCCTCTGTATTGCTTCAAGCTATTAATTTTGTTCCTATTATAAAATGATCGAGAAAAAATTAAAAAAGTGATGATGATTTAGATTCGATTTGTCAATTATTGTTGAATGTCTATGTGACTCCTTGCTAAACCACGTAACATCTACATCCGTGCTTTTTAAGACGCCTACCAACGGCCGCACACGAAAGTTGGACGGATACCGCGACTCGGCTGGAATTCCAGAACCATACACTGATCGGATCTGAGTCGCGATAGGGTACCAGCAGCAGGTAAGAATCCAAATTCGAAAATCGTCCTCGAGATCGGCATTATGATCGAGTCTGAATTTGACATTGTAACAACCTAAGCGGCTTAGATCCAGATCGATGCTGAAATAAAGACGTCAGTTGAGACGAGCAATTGGGCCTCAACTGAAACAAGAGTCGGCATCGGAACCGTGACTAGCAGTAAATACTGGACTGATGACAATACTGGATCCGAAACACACCCAGATATCTGCATCGAGCGAGAACATGCGCCTCGAACTGCTACAGAGACTGGGAGTAGAATCGGACTTGAAGCTGACACTGTCATTGAGAACGCGGCCAAACTCTGAGTCTAGTCTAAAGTCGCTACCTGACCTAAGATCAGTAACTGTATTAAAACTGAAACGAAGAGGAGCACTGGTCGATGGAAAACTTCGAGTCGAATGCAGTCATGGAAGAGAAAACTGGATGATTCACAGGACTAAGTCTGAAACTCTGATGGGAAGCGAGGTCTGGCATAAGCCGCATGACATGCCGTCACAGCGATGGGTCCTGGAATCGAACATGAAGCCTATGGTGTAGCTGACCATGCGACTAGGATTGTCAGTTGCATGTGAACCGATGGTCCACTGCCATTGATAGTAGTATGATGACTTAAACTAATATGTAGACAAAAAGTCAGGACAGGAATAGGAATCGCAATCAGAACAAGAACAGAGACAATCACTAGGGGAACGCAAACGAAGATGGTGGCACAGACAGATACAGAAACTGAGATCCGGCTCGCTGCTAGGGCCCGAATTAATCCTAATGCGAATTAATATTTGCACGAAGATCGGGGCTGCGTTCGTACATCGATCTTTGACGAGAATCATGGCCGTGGGCACAAATCGCTCTTGGCACTAGCGTCTGACATGAATGTATCCTCTCATATGTAGAAGGGACGTTTGAGGCTTGATTTGATTTGCATTATGATATTTAACGATAAACTATTACTTGTGAAGCCCTAGTATTATATAAAGTCAGTGCGCTGGTCGGAAAAATCAAGTGAAGCGTGGTAGAGTATACGTCCTTTTAACCTCTGATTTACTTTCTTGTCGTTCTTTGAGCTGTTCGTACAATGAATGAGAAAGCAAGCAAAATAACGGTAATATTTGTATGCAAAGAATAAAAGGTATATACAATAATATATGATCATAGATTATTTCGTATACACGGATGAATGCGCGCTAGCCAAACTTATTTTATGGATATGTATATAACTACAATAATGCTTTCATTTTTTGCACAGAACAACTTCGATACATTATATTGTTGGTTTAGTCGTGGACATACAAGATTTTACACGAATCCAGCAAGTAAAGGTAAGTCTTTTGATAGTGCAATCTCTTCAGGAGGCCTTTTCATCAGTATTTAGCCGATTTTTCTATCCTTGAGCAGTATTACTAACCTTATATCATTTTATTTTCGTATCGTAGTAATTACTTTCCTCCCAACGAAAACGTTACGAAGTTCTGTATGAAACCAATAGTAGATATTAGTTACTGTATAGCCGTTCTTCTCACAAAGGATCAGTAGCAAGAATCGTCAATCCGCTTTGTGAGTTCCATTGTAGAGAAAAACCGTTCAGAATTGTACTTTTTTAGTATTCAAAAAGATTTGATCTCGCTGAAAATTAGGTATGACACTCCCTCGGACAAAAAATTACCTTCTTGCATTTAATTTTTTCATCACTTAAGACGTTGTATTAAAAAAACGAAATATGCCACAAGATGCAACATGAAAAGAGCTACAAGATATAAAGAACAGCTTATTTTATAGTTGCACTTTTTGTTTTCAAAATGTACAAAACTCTGAGTGGCCAAATTTCTACGTTTCAAGAATAAATAACTTTTTCGTACACGATAAATTCATTTTTTCTTATTTCATTTTCTCATCACTTGATATACTTTAGTTTAAAAAAAAGCAAAATACGCCACAAGATGTAGCGTGAAAAGCTCTACAATATGCAAAGCATGCTTATTTTATATATGCCCCTTTTGTTTTCAAAATGGACAAAATTTTATGCAACTAATTTTTGACGCCGCGAACACGATCATTTTTTGGCACACAATAAACTCCTCTTCTTATTGCTTCGGTTAATGAGCCATATAGAAGGCCATAATTGATGACAGAATTTAGATTAATCGCTCTGTGTTCCAATTACAACAATATGCAATGAGATAAAGTTAAAACAATGATTCATTGATTGATGAAATATGAAAACGAATTCGTCGTGTACGAAAAAGTTAATTATTTTTGAGGCGTAGAAATTTGGTCACTCAGAGTTTTGTATATTTTGAAAACAAAAAGTGCAACTATAAAATAAGCTGTTCTTTATATCTTGTAGTTCTTTTCACGCTGCATCTAGTAGTATATTTTGTTTCTTTTACTACAACGTCTTAAGTGATGAAAAAATTAAATGCAAGAAGGTAATTTTTTGTTCGAGGGAGGCTATACAGAATACAAGTGCTTCGGGAAATTTTCGTGGAAGGGGTACTTTTCAAGTAGGCTTTTGGCGAAGAATATGCTTAGGATATTGTCTTCAGAGCGAATAGCTTTAATTGTATAATAGCTGTTTTATGATATCGACAAAATTCGAGCGAGTAAGTCTTGATAAAACCGTATTCTCCATAAAATGCCTCTGTTGTCAGGATTGTCCACAATATTTTCAAGTCACAATGAATGAATGGGATAATGAAGTCATTTTATGCTTGTACTATTCGAAACTCTACTCATTGAGACAAAAAAATCAAAAAAATTTCGTGACATTCGTGAATTTGATGTCAAAAACACGAAAACAATGGCATTTTCGATGGTGAAACAGATATAAAAATTGATGTTTTTCATATTCATTGATGAGAAGCGACATTTTAATCCAGCAAATGCAACAAATTTGATTTTTAGTCAAAATCATGCAATGAAATCCATGAAAATGTCCATTTTAATCCATGGATTTGGAACACATGAACTTTTTTTTATCCATTTCATCATTTTAATGCTATTTTTTTTATTTTTGACTACATGGGTGTCAAAAACTCTTAACGGTCAGTACCTCTGAGATCATATTCTAATTTCTTAAATATCAAAACAACTGTCATTTTAATATGAAAGTTTTGCTGCATGCTAGTATTATGCAACTTTAAATAAACACTTAGATCGTAATAAAAATAAATCTAAAAAAAATGAAGTCTGTTTCAAAATCAAACTTTGTATCTCGTTAAGTTTTGTTATCGGCAATAGTAGCTGTCAAATGGAAAAGTCTTTCAAGTAAGGATACCACTTTTTCTTGACTTTTGACGGCAACTAAAATAGTGTTAAGTACAACTAGTCAAAATAAGGCACAAATATTGTTATATATCACTTGTTGTAAGGTAGCACATAAGAATTTTCGAAACACTTTTCCTTTACTTCTCAGTATTAGGGTGTATGTGATGTGGCAGATCACATAAATAACGTCGGTATTAGCAATATCACAAGTCATATGAACTCCATTTAATTTCTTTGTGAAGCTGTATTAATAAACCCTTTCTTAAAAGAACTAGTTTGGCAATTGATATATAACAGGATCCATTTTCTTACCAGTTGAATTCTGTTATTGAACCAACCGGTTTTCTACCAGTTTTTGCTGGCTAAGTCAAAACTTTTCAACCGATCGATCCGGTCCGGCTACAAAAAAGTTCAACTGGTTCCTTCTTTTCAAGAATGCTCTTCTTAGTTTTTACTTACATGCGATAGAGTTTTGAGTTTGTAACGTAGAGAAAGAACAGAGCGCCAACTAAAATTACACTAGAGCTGATGTAAAGTATTCAATCATAGAAGAACGTTGCATTAGAAATAATAATAGCGTGATTTCTACAGAATTAAAATGTCAAAAACGATGTAGTTGCTGTTACTAATCACACGAAACTGGTTTATTCTATCTATTTTGGAGCACATCCCTTCATGATTCTTTTACTTAAGTCTCCGGAAATACAATACGGAAGTAGTTCAAATCTTTGAACCAGACCTTATTAGTATGCGATCTGTGATCGTATATCTACGTCTATCACGATCTATGACGATCTCTGGCTAGCGTCTGCTACGATCTATAGGAATGAGGGAGGGCATCCCAAATTTCAACCTTATATATTTCAACACTTCTTTTAGATCGTGTTTCACCAAAACTATAACGACGAACTTGATAATTCTCATTCGAGAGAAAGAATAGGATATTTTACATCCATAATTGTTTTCATTGTAAATACGTGTGATCGCTGTCATAAATTAATTATTACGAAATCGATTGTAGATATTGAACTCTGTCATCGTTTCGTCTTGCAAATCGACGATTCGTATTCAAAGCACAAAAAAATAACATGAAGTTAAGTATGACCGGCACATTCTTTCTGATGGTCAGTATGGCATTGGTTGTACTCACCAATGCATTGACTAATATAGAAAGTGCTGCTAGTATGTATTATTTCAGAATATGTTATGCAACACAGTATACATTTTTGTATCATATGTTCCAGAGATTCCACAGAAATTCGTTGATTTTACAGTTGGTAAAAAAGCGAAACTATCGAAAACCAATGCGGCCACTGGTAATGTGCGTGATGATATACTTATTCCAGGTACTTACATGGTAGAATTCGACCAACGTGCTCGTGTCAAAAACTTCTATCAGGCGATTACTAACTGCCTGGAAAAATCTCATGGAATTCGACGATCGACCATCAAAATGCGACAAACTATTTCTACATCGCTGTTTTCTGGAGCTTCATTTTCAGTGAATTGCAATCATTCGGCCGAAGCAATCAGATCTATACCCAACGTTATTTCTGTTTACCCTGTTCATTTTGTTCCCGCTCCAAAACCTCTCATCGACAATATCTCGTCTGGTAGAAAGACAGACAGTCAGGCAGATTCCATCATTGCGCATGACTGGACAGGTGTTACACAGATTCACAACCAAATGAAAAACTTTGGGAAAGGTGTTCGGGTAAGGCACTTCGAAATAAATCAAGTTTCATTTTCTGTTGTAAAAACAACACATGATGATAAGAATTAAAAGTATATGTTTGTTTAAAAACTAATGAAAAGAAAAGCAATGCTATAACCACCGAGTTACTAGGTATCTTGTACTTCTTTGAGTATGCATATTGAACCTATTTTTCAGAAAGTTTCTATGCTATACTCTTGCTAGACTTAAGGTTTAGAAAAATAATTTAATAGTATTCAAGATATACTGTGAAGACAATATTTGCCTTGGATTGGTAAAAATTTGAAAGATTTCAAATAGATATGTCCGAATGGCAGCCAAAGCTAGAGAAGAATTGAAGCGTAACTTTTTTCGATTAAAAGTGACTTTTTAAAAAAACTATGACTATCTAATTATTTCAAACTAACCATTTCAAACATGTTAATTTTAATTTCAACAATCAATACACTCGATTAAGTTTCGTTCAGTCAGTTTTGAATAAGTCATTAGTGATATTCTAAGGAACTCAACATTCCAACTGGAAAATTCGAAGTTGCAATGAACACATGCGCTATAATTGATCGAGATTTCTTTTGATGACATAGATTTATTTATGACATGTTTTGCACTATGTAGATTGCTGTGATTGATACTGGTGTTAACTATTTACATCCTGCTCTGGGAGGCTGCTTTGGACCGAGGTGCAAAGTTGCATTTGGTTACGGTAAAAGATGATTTCCGATCTTAGCACAATAGAAAAAGAAGATAATGATTGAAATGTTTCTAGATTTTGTCGGAGACAAATACAGTGCATCCAACCCGATTCCAGTGCCCGACAATGATCCACTCGACGATTGTTCTGAGAGTTCTCATGGTATTTATCCGTATTCTATTCACCATCGAGAGTTGTTCTACAATGACTTTTATGTTCATCTTAGGTACTCATGTTGCTGGAATCGTTGCTGGTAATGCCACAAAAATGTTTCAGACAGGTTTCATACCGATCGCACCCTTCCTCGGCGTCGCTCCTCAGGCAACTCTCGGCGCATGTTAGTTCATCTGCTTTCTATCATTAGTAATTCATTTCAGCTCCACTTCTTTCCTGTTGTAGATCGTATCTTTGGTTGCGCTGCAGATACAACTACCACAGGTACATACAAGCATGAATAAAAGCATGTTTCTAAAAGTTTGCTTATCTTTATATTATTTCTTTTCAACATGTTTCTAGATCTCATCACTGCGGCAATCTTTCGGGCTTTTGATGACAAAGCTGATATAAGTAAGTTGTTATAACTAATAGTTTTTCAATACGTTGTGAAACGATTTGAGCAGAATGAAAACTTTCGTCGCAAATACTTTTTGGAAAGCTTCGAAGGTGTTCCAAGCAGTCAAAAATGAGTTCATTTTATTTAGAGAAACTATTTTTCGTAACTTTTCAACTTTGGATCTGTGCTTCGTGATAAATCACTGTATAGTAATATTATATGAGAATGAATACGGACTGTATTTGCTACCTAGAATAGAATTGAAAACAAAATCCAGTTTTGGCTCTTTTTTCCTTTATTTTCAATTGATATTTATGCCTTTTGAAAGATTATTATTAGTATCTCAAGCTATTTCGAAAAGTCCAGAAAAATTTGCGATTCACTATTATTAAGAGTGAGATTTGCAATCGACATACATCGTACTTTAAACATCAATTCCATCGTCTTCGCCTGTAAGCCAATATATTCATTGATAACGAGTAAACTAGTATTAGCTTGATCTTAACAATTCTTAGAATTAAATTCGAACTATCACAAACCTAATGCTAATTGTTGAATGATATTTGATAAACTATAGTGTTCGGACATAAAAAGCAATAATCAGATAGTCTTGTAATCATGTTGCTTACCGTGACTTTGCTACATTTAGTCACAATGTCCGCTGGAAGTGCTGCGGCATATGCAGAAACACCAGCTGCAATGGCTGCTCAACGTGTATCCAACAGAGGAGGTAACAACGTTTGCTTCGATTTAAGGATGTTCCGATATTTCCGATACTTCTTTTAGTTTATATCGCGTTTTCGCAAGGAAATAACGGAGAAAAGGGTCTTCAAACAGGGGGACATCCAGGCATTTCGTCTGGTGCAATGGCAGTAGCTTCGATAGACAACTCGAAAAGGATTCAACCTTATTTAATCGCACCTGATGGTAAGAAAATTTTCTATATGCCTGGAAGTATTTTCGGTGGTTGGCAATCCATTGTAAATTCGACCATCGTCGTCAACGGTACATTCTCATTCCACTCGCTATTGATAATCATTTTTTTCAATAATGACTAGATCCGCAAGCTACAGCATATGATGGATGCTACGGTCCGGCTAAGTCGGTCGAGGGCGCTGTTGTTTTGTATAAGTTTGACCCTATGTATTCTTGCGGCTCGTCTTATATATGTGACATGGCAGCAGTAGCCGGTGCAATCGGTTGTCTCGTGTACAATATTGATGATTTCTATGGTTTTATTTGCTTCATTTCATTTTCTGCTCGATTTGAACTTGTCTTTCAGGATCTTCGATTATCCCAAGTGGATGTATCAGTTTAGAAGATGGTCAACGTATTATTGCAATGACTACAAAGAATCTCTCAGCTGTGTTTACGTTCACCAATATACTGGCACTTGCGCCCGTTGTAAGTAAAGATGGACTGGTTATTGTAGCAGTGTATCAAATAGAAATAGACCTAAGATTAATCTCTCGATCTCATTGGAATGAAGTGTACAGTATTTCATAGAATGTAGTCAATTAGGTTTGCAATGCCAAACAGACAATTCACTTGTTGAAGAGTAGTTCTTTTTTCATTTTTGACAGTATGGAAAGTAGATCGACCCGAAACGATTGTGAGAAGTAGGTCACAACATTTTCAGAGTTTGCTAAACGTGATAGAAGCCATTTATGGTCTATTCAAAATCTAAATAATTTCGACCAACCTACTTTTTCTTTCTCAATTCTATTCTACGTCTTTAGCTTATCTTAAGAGTGTTCTACATTTTGTCGAAGTTTCAAAAAACAGTTACCATATTTAAGAGATTAAAAGGGCAATTTTTCTCAAATTAGCTATTCAAAAAACAATTCAGGTCACTTGCTCTAAAACCAGTGTCTGCGTAATGAGTCAAAATCTGCTACTCAAAAGGAAAGAAATTTATAACCGAAAATACTCAATATAATGAAAATAGACACGAGTGATTGTCATGTCGCAACCTTTGCGAATTGAACTTAAAATTTTCTTCTCTTCTTTTCATTGATGTTAAGCCAACGGCAGGAACACCTTCTTCGTTCACATCGCTCGGCCCTACAGGTGATCTGTTAATAAAACCTCAAATTAGTGGTATCGGTGGCAATGTTTATTCAACCATTTCATCTTTTGCCGCTAAAACACAACAGCTGTCTGACGCATATGCTTCCTACTCGGGTACAAGTATGGCTTGTCCTTATATTGCTGGGTATGAATAGATTTACTTTGATCATATTAACGTTAAACTTTGCTTTGGCTAGACTATTATTTCAGACCTATTCTATGATCATTGATTGATCGATTTAGGGAGTTGAAGCGCGTTTTTATAGGACTGGTAGGAGAAAAGTCCTCTTAATCCAAAGATAGGGGGGGGGCACACTCTTAATCAACCGAAAGTTAGTGAAAAACAGACAAAGTCATTCAGTCACAGAGATGTCGTATTTAATCGCTAAGTATTGTCGGAAATGAATGAAAATCATACAAGATCACGTACATGATATAAGATCAATAACACTTTTGGATTCTCAGGATCACAAACTTCCTTTGACGAGAGATTCTCGAAAGCTAGCATAATGCATGAAATGTTGATATCTAGGCTTTGTAAGCGATCTTCATTGATTCTTGAAAGTTTAAAAACAATGAGCTTAAGTAATTTGAAGCGGTCTTATAGTTCCTGAGCAATTTTCGCTCAATTCCTTCAAGTATGTTAGTTTGATTCATTATGGTGATTATGTTTAATTTTGCTCAATTCTACTTGTTGTTCTGCCGTTTTGAATGATTTCAGATGTTAACGGTAATTGGAAGTCTTAAAAATCATGAAATTTGGTCACAGTAAATTCAAATCATATAATATCACGAAAAAAACCTAACTGCTAAAACTACGTGAAGTTGCGACAATCAGGATTATGTGTTTCACTCTTGAAATTCAATGTTTGTCGCTTATCATTTTCTAGAATGTTCTGGAGTTAGTCAGCAGAATCTCAATTTTAATTCGAAAGACCAGCTCTAACTATGAATTAGTCGTCACAAAAGCATTGAGAATAAGGAACATGAAAAATTATTTGCTAGTTTAATCTCGAGATATATTCGTTCAATGAGTGTCTTATTTGTCATCTCAAAATTAGAAATAGCATTCTTCTTTAGAAACCGCTTCCTTTACGTATAGACGAATCTGTGTTCCTTATTCTGATGACTACTTAGAAGAGAACAGCTAGTTTCTGATTATTTTGATTGAGTCAAATGAATAATTTTACTCTAAAGTCTGGGTGAATTTGTCAACATTCAAACACCAAACTAATAATCCTTACGGAAAATATCCAAAATTGTGTCTGAAAGAGACTTTCAACTAGAATTTTCACGAAAATCTTTTGATCTTGAGACTCTATATTCAAATACCAACAGATTCTTAATGATTCACTGCCAACTCAATGCTACTTAGAAAATATAACGCGATTTCACATCTACTATCGGAGAAGATTGTGCATGTGAGACTGCGTCGTTCCTAAGATTATCATACAAGTGATTTGAAGGATAAAGAATGTTTTCCATTCTTGTTAAAATAATATTTTTGTTGATCAACTACTTAATAGATAGAACGAAGTCAAACAAAATCCGGTAAGTTAGTTTTAAAAAATATGGAAAACATCGTTTATCAGAACTAGATGATGCTAGTGAGATGGAAAAGTCTTTTACAAGAACAAAACTGTTCATTAGACTGTAAAAACTGCTAAATGATGTATTAATATATTCGTCACAATACAGGTAGATCTATACATGTTGCACATAATAATATATTCATTAATAGTCATGATATCACTTTACAAATGATCGGTGCTCGAATTTGAAGAGAGTAAAAGGAAATAAATGTGATACAATTGACTTTAGAAAATAGTCGTAATCAGATTAAGATTCTATTACTGTTACTATTGTAGCATTTATTAATTGGCATTAAATGATGTTACAGGAATAGGAGGTTGTTCAGCATCATCTCTAGTTCATTAAGAATATTTTGAGCAATTTACAGATGTAGATTAAATTTGTCTACAAATGACTCATAGGAGACCAGTAGGATCGCAAAAACACGTAGATTTTTCTAGGCCGATCGATTGTCAATCTATTCTCACGTAATACTAAGTCAAAAATTTAATATAAATCACAAAGTCTATGCTGTTTTGTTGAGAACATCTACTAGAGATTTCATGAAATGTCAGAGATAGTAAACGTAGAACAAGAATAAAGGTGCACTTTGAGTTTTACCTGGAAAAGATATCATAAAGAAACGCTTCCTGCCTTATCACATTGAATAGATATCAAGTATGCTAAATCGTTATAAAAATCATTCAATTCTGTTGTTTGAAGAGCTCTGGCACTCTTTCTTGCACACATCGGTAATCCCGCTCCGGAAACAGTTGACAGTCGTTTAAGAAGTGCAAAATGTCGACCTCCATTCTCAGAAGTTATCAATTTATTTCAATCAAACGCCAAACCAGTGAACATATACAATACATCAATGCTTGCTTCGACTATTCAACAAGGTGCTGGGCTGGTCAATGTTTTTCAAGCCTTAACAGCTACCACGATCATTTCACCGAGTGAACTTGCATTAAATGACACGGCCAGGCAAAAGAAATTCTACAATATTAAAGTATCCAATATCGGTAATAAATTAGCTCAGTACCAGATAAGTCATCGCGGAGCTGCATTAGCTACCGGAAAGCAGTACGGAGACGATCAGCTTTTGTCCACACCAATATATACTGCTGACTACGCCGTAAGTACTATTTGATTAATTCACGTTAGATTAAAGATCTTTATTTTTAAGTAAGACTCTAGTAAAATCTCATCTGCCAGAAATTCTAGTTTATGCAAGCATGAAATCCGAAATATACTGTAAAGTAGACTTTTGTTTGCTTGAACTTTAACTACTTTACTAAAAGAATAGAAGAATTGACTTGATATTAATTTATATCCGAAGTATGAAGAAAGAATGCTTCTACAATCTTTCTTACTGTACTCCCTAAT